AGACCCAGGCTTAGCTCAAGCTGACCATCCAGCCCAGGTGACTGACAGCAGAGAGCAGGTGCTCACATTTGGGGAACTGTGGTTTCTGAATGTCATGTGGGACGACACGAAGACTTACTCTTCCACTCTAAGCTTCTGAGCAGGTAACCAACAAACCCTCTTTATTTACCCACAGCTTCAGCTTCACTTTGGCCTAGTGATTTTAGCCCTGTGCGCAGGTATCAGAAAGCCATGATGAATTCTTTCCCCACCTAACCGCAGTATGAATTTCAGCAGTTTTTGTGGCATTGAATATCACGAACAGCCTGGACAAGGATCCTTAAAGTAGGTCTGGCAGCAGACAGGGCTTTCCTTCCTCAGTGCCTGGGGTGTGCAGGATTTCCAGCCACACACACAAGGAAAGAAAGCTGAATGGAAGTTCCAAGTACTAGTGTTGTGGACAGAATGTTTGTATCCCTTCTGAATGATTATGTTGAAGGCCTAACCTCCCATGTGATGGTATTTGAATGGGGGAATTTGAGGGGTAATTAGGTTTCAGATGAGGTCATTAGGGCTGGGTCCTCATGATGGGATTAGTGTCTTTGTAAGCAGAGGAAGAGAGATGGGGTGAGCACACCCTCCCTCCCTCCTTCCCTCCCTCCCTCTCTGCCAGGTAAGGACCCAGCAAGGTGGCAGCCATCTGTGAACCAGGAAGAGGGCCCTCAGCAGGAACTATCTGCTGGCATCTTGATCGTGCATTTCCTAGTCTCCAGAAATTCGAGGAATACATTTCTGCTGTTTTAGCCACCCTGTCTGCCATACAGGTATCCCCCGGTTTTTGCAAGTTTGCATCACACCATTTCACTTTTATGAGAGCCCTACATCAGTACCTGTTTTCGTGACTGAAAGAAATCCCAAGAGGATTTTTGCATTTATGAAAAAAGTCAAAAATTGAAAATAACATTCAGTGTCTGTTTTTCAGTGAGCCATTACAAGGGCAGCATGTACCCCCAGCGGCGAGCGTGGGCCCCACCAGGCTCCGTCCCGGGAGTCCCACTCAGATCTCAGCATCAAGCCGCCAGAGCTCTGAACAGTGTCAGTGGATATTTGTGCTTTATCTTGATTTATTTTGTGCTTATGTTGGCAAGATGTGTACATAAGGAACAGAAAAACCTAAGTGAGGTTATTTTTTGGGTCTAGAAACACTAAAAAAAATTTCCATATAAGTTAATGGTAATTGCTTCTTTCCCTTTATGCCACTTCAGCTTAGAAAAGGCTTCACAGAAACATTCTACTTTTTGGATAGCAGGGAAAACCTGTATTTGTTATGGCAACCTGAGCAGATTAAGACATGGGGCATTTCCCTGCTACTTAAACTGCCCCTAGAGACGCTAGAGAAATGCCAACAAACTGGTACTGGGGTAACACAGTTAGTGTACAACTCACGAACCTGGGCTTGATGGGAGGGCCCAGCTCTGCTCCTTGGGCAAGTCAGCCTCGCTGTGCCTCATCCGTGAAATGGGCCTAATACTAGTACTTATCTCATAGGCTGGTGCTGAGAATTAAATGGGGTATTATATATTTCCTGACATCAGGAAATGCTCAGTCAATAATTATTATTTTTTCATTGCTGAAGCCCGACTCCTGCTCTAACTGCAGCTCCTTTTCATAGGGTCTGCTAAGCAGAAGAGACAGTAAGATGTGCTGGACAGAGTCCTAGCAGTAATCAGAAGCCCTAAGTTTGAGTTCCTGTTTTTGCCTTTTTCTTATTTTGACTTAAACAAGTTTCTTAGCCTCTCCAAGTTTCCTTCATCTGTAAAAAAAAGTCAGTATGATGATATCTGCTCTCCATGCCACATCAGATGGCTGCAAAAGTTGTATTTCACAAGGTACACAAAAGCATTTTGAAATCTGTCCAGCAGATACTTGCATAGAAATATTGAAAGAGGTAAATTTGTCAATAGTAATTAAATACCTCTAAGGCTCTAAAACAATGTTTCAAACTTTTTGACTGCAATCCCTTAGAAGAAACATATCTTATATTGCAAACAGATACATTCATCACTAAAACAAAATAATACTTTGATATTTTTAATTTGGTTCTCTTTTTTTCTTTTCCTTTTTTCCTTAACTGTAACTTAGTTTCATGGGGCATGTCCTGACCTTTAGCTCTCACTGGGCCTAAGAATCATCCTTGGAGCATTTAAAAAACCTGATACCCTGGCCCTACCCGCTGAGACACGGAATCAGTGGTTTGGGGTGGAGCTGGGGCAGCAGCATTCTTAGACAGCCCAGGTGATTCTGTTGTACAGCCAGGACTGAGAACCACAGAGCTCATTGCTAGAAACCACTGTTATTTACATCCTGGTCTGCTAACCATTCTCCCTCCCTGGAATGTTGCCCCACCCCCATGCTGCTGCAGTTCTGCTGGTTACTGTGAGTGGATTACTCACTCATGTGGCTCCAGTGTGCATGAGGAAAACACAGAAAGGCATGAAGATCAAAGCAGAGCCTGGGCTTTATAAGAGGCCTCCTTTCTCCTCCCAGATGGCTGGGGAACCCCATGCCGAGCAAAGACTGGAATAGATCTGTAGGATTGTTGTTAAAAGTGAAGGGATCCCTAAAAAAACTTTTTGCTTGAGTAGGAGGGGCAGACGAAAAATAAAGGGGAACTGCCAGACCTTGTTGCCTGCTCATGCAGGAGAGGAAGCTCTGGCCATGCAGACGGGGCTGAGCAGGGCTCGGAGATAAGCTCAGTCAGAGGGCGCTTCCCAGCCTGGCTATCTCCTCCTTCCTGGTGTAGCCCAGATGAAACAGAAAGGCCCTCCATCCTTAGCTCAGCCTTCCTCTACAGAAGAGAGGACTGGGGGGCTGACCTGCTCACTTGGGTGGAATCATCTGTAGCCTACATGTAGCTGCCTAGCAGAACCAGGGCAGAACCTTAGCAGAATGCAAAGGAACCCACAGATACTGGAGGCCCTAAGTCTAGGTCCTCAGCCTACTCTTGGATACAGGGATGGGATCAAGAAAACTGGATTGGTTTTGTACTCAGTGAGTTAAAAAAAAATCTAAAGCCGTCTGTTTGAAGCATAGCCTCTGGGTTTACTGACCAGGCATAATATTAAGAGTTACCATTACTGGACACCTTCTGTGTGGTAAGCACTTTATATACACTACCTCATTTAATTATACAATACCTCTTCAGACTTGCATTTTATAGAACCTCAGGTTTAAGGAACTCAGAGAGTTGTGCTGGGATGCTAATGCAAGTTGATCCCCACTCCGGATCCCATGCTCCAGGGTTTCTCAGCACTACTGATGTTTGGGGCCAGATAATTCTTTGTGGTGAGGGGCTGTCCTGTGTATTATATAAGACTTAGCAGCATCTCTGGCCTCTACACATCAGATGCCAGTAACATCCCCCTCACCCCCACCAGTGACAATCACACATGTCTCCAGACATTGCCAGTGTCCTGGGGGGCAACCAAAGACACCAATGGAGGTGATAAACAGAACACTCCAGGAAAATATGGTAGAACAATTACTACCATCCTATCCTCTGGTTCTGTATCACTTACAATTCACCAAATATTTTTATGGCCATTATCTCCTTTCATGGCATCTGAGTGCACAGAAGGATCTAACTGTTAATCCACCCTCAAAATGTGAACAATTGAAAGATCTATATATTTAGCCTTCCTAAGAAATTGGGGGAAAAGAACATGCAGTAAAATCCATATTAATCCTTAATTCCATAAGCTACTAGGAGAAAAAACTTTTGCTAATGCATAGTACTAAGAAAGCGCATTATGTGAACTTCTGGACGGTGAAGTCTTTCTTGTATCTCTATCTTCTGCACATACTTGCCTAAGACAGAACTCTCACTAAATGTCGAACATGTCATGAAACAGTTATTTCATAGCAACCATTTAAGATAAAATTATTTTCCCATGTTTTGCATCTTCCTCTTTATGTGTGTGTGTATATATGATATATATATTCATATATATATACATAAAACATATTTCTGTGTGTGTATATATATATATATATATATATACAAATCAAATTAATAAATTGGAAAAAAATTAATGTTGGTTATTTATGGAAGAGAAGAGAGCTGAATGTCAGGGTAATTCTTCCCTGTCATTTAGAAGACAAAGAAAGTCAAAATTCAAGTTTAACTGAAACAAATGATCACCAGAATCATCCCTTTCAATACATGCCAAGAGAACTGTTGCTATTTTGTTAGAACAGTATTTTATTGGATCAAGGAAAAAAAAATTTTAGGAGCTTTTAAACTTTTTTCCTTCGAATTTTCATCAAGTCATTACACTTAATGTAGAGAGTCAAAACAGGAATGTTCATTGAAAAAACATCTGAATTCAAAATAAAACAGTTAGTTAACAGTTGCTTTTAAGGTCACTCTTTAAAAACTCCTTAGAGGCTAGGAGAATAAAAAGAGAGTATTCTCATTCACACATTCATTTGCAAAGCCCAGCCAAAGAGAATATCATTACCTGGGAAATGACGAATTTATACATGGCTTCAAAGGAATTTTAGTATAAAACTATCAGTAAACAATATTAATAATAAAAACAGCTAGACTCTATTGAGCACTTATGTGTGGGGTACTGAACTCAAGTGTCTACTTGCATAAATCTTATTTAATCTTTGTCACAGCCCCATGAGGTACATATTCATGAGTAACTTTATTATGAGATAAGAAAATTGAGGCTAAAAGACATGAAGTAACTTGCCCAAGGTCACAGGGAGATCAAGATTCAAATCAAGACAGTAAGAAGTTTTACGTCAAATCATCTGAAAAAACACTGGGTATTTAGAGAAACAATGATGAAAAGGGATATGTTAATTTTTAACTGTGTGTGCCATGGCATCCCAAAACTGAAATGGATTTTGGGAACTCATTCTCTTCCCCTTGTTTCTATACAGATCTTTGCACAAAAAAACTCAAGTTTCCAGGCATTAGCTACATATAAGGTAAGTGACTTTCTGGGTACCTTCTTTTTTGTGAGAAAACAAGTCTTCTGTTTTGTTTTCCGTGAAAATTCACAGGGATGGAAATTGCCTGGTGAGGAGTGCCTGGAAAAGGAAAAGAAAGGCTTATTTTCTCTAGCCCAAAAGGCCATAAAGTGTAACGATAAAATGACAGGGCCAGATTTTTTTTCACACACGTATCAGAGCATGAACACCCAAATGACAGTTGTACTTCAAAGCACTTACTTTCCAATTCTAAGCACACACACATTCCTTTACTGGATATCCCTTTAGAACTGCCAGCCCTTCAAGAGGACTTTCATTACTTTAATGGGCAGCCATCCTATTACAGCCTCAATTCCCCACCTCAGAGGCCAAAGCTGGCACCACACGTTTGGTTCTGTTCCATTTGAGGAAGGTTTGCCATCATGGAGGCAATGCAGTAGATGTGCTGCGAACTCTGAGGGCACCTCCAAAGCAGGAGGTCCAAAATTATTCTCAGCAATGACAGCATCACTAGAATTAGTACACAGCTTGCCAGGAGGAGGCTTCTGAAGGTGAGATATGCTCACTGGAATGTAATAAATGCTAGCATATTTTATTTTAACATTTGTATACAGAGTTGGAAGAACCAGCTAGCTTTATGTCCAAGTTAGTAGATATGCTGCTGCAATAACAATAATGCAGATTTTGGCACAAGGTTGTGACCACCCCTTAATGAGAACACAAACAAACAAAACCTATCCTGAAGTGATATTTGTAAATTCCAGTTAACTTGCAAAATTATTGAAGAGATATCCTTTTCATGAAGAAAAAAAAATGGGCCCAACATATGCTGGTTGCCAAAATAGTCCTCGGTTCTCTCAGGAAGCTGGAATCTCAGTGTGTCGGAAGATGGGCCTATGTCTACAGCACAGGAGGAAAGAAGTGTGGGCATCTCCCCTTGCCTGTCGGAGCCCAGGAACTTTCCAATGGAGAAATCCACTTAATAGGATTCCTGGAGCCCCTGGATCTTCCTGAATTAGCTGTTATACCAAATAAGTAAACTGATTTCCATACCTAATTAACCATATGGGATAAGTCAATATACGATGTCAGTATTATTGAACTAATTAAAGGGTGCAGGGCACCCAAGGCAAACACCAGAAAGAAAGAGACAGAGCACTGGTCATTTGTTTCCCTTGCGATACACACTGGGTTACCCACCCGCCAAGTCCCAAGCAGCCTAGCACCCTGCCCAGTGACCTGGTCAATGGCAGCAGCTCAGGGTGGGTACAGGCTGCCAACATCTTAAGAAAGCAGCCAGGGCAGTCCACCTTGCATGCGGGTAACTTCCTGTTAACTTCAGTAAAGGGGGCCCTGACCAACAGGGACAAAATCCCAAACTGTACAGTAATCCTCAGGTTGACTGGGCTGTGGAATGCAGTTCGCTTGTAGGGCGTGTATGTGTGTGCGTGTGCCCGCGCTTTCTTGATTTCCCTCTAGTTTTTACTGAGAAACAGACTCTCACGGAGTACAGGAGAGTGGGGAGCAAGTAACACATGGATCTAAAAATTGCACACACCTTAATATTGAGTTATGCCTGAGGCACGCACACAGGTCGAGCTTACCGGGGTATTTGAAATCTCACTCCTTAACTATTCTTTTATGTCCAGACGCTTCGCATTGGGTCCCTGGGCAGAATCATTTCTAACGCAGCTCGGAAATGCGAGATGCCACCAGGAGCCTTCGGGCTCGAGGCTCTGCCCCTGGTCGGTCTAGCCTGAGAGCCCACAGATGCACAGAAGGGTGCGGCGCCCCCACAGCCTTCAGGTCCCCCGGCCGTGCCGGCGAGGTGCTCCCCCACCTCGTCTTCCCAACACTCCGAGCTTACTGGGTTTGGGGTCCCCGCCCGCGCCCGTCCGCGCGGCCTGGCTTGGCTCTCCCGAGTGGGTGCCCTCAATGCCGCCATTCCACCGAGGGGGCTGTGACCCCTGGGCCGGGCCGCCGCGGTGTCCCAGCCTCCTCACCGCTATCCTCACCAGCAGCTCTTGGGGCTCTTCGCGCAGCCCACTCCAAGAAACTCCAAGAAACTCCTCCATCTTTCCCTGGAGGTGCCACACGCCTCGCCCCACTGTACCCTTCCCGGGGCTCCCCTCCGCCCCGCCCGCCTGGTGCTGCCTCTCCCCCGCATCCCCATCCTGGGTTCTGCACCACTCCGCCCTGCGGAGGGCGCCCCTCGTTCCTCCACCCCGGGCTCGGCCACCGGAGCTCCCCAGTCGCGGTCCGGACCCCTCCGTCCTCCCGCCTAGGGCTCTGGGACTCCCCAGCGTCGCGGTCCGCACCCTCAGAGCTTCGGCTCAGGGGCTCCCCAACATCGGGTCACTGGCCTTCCGCCCCCGGGCTCGGGTTCCTCGACATCCCGACTCTGGACGGCCCCCCAGGCTCGGCTTTTGGGGCTCCCCCAAAGTCGCGATCCTGACATCCCCGTCGCCCCGCGCTCGCGCCCCGGGGCTCTCCAGCCTCGCGGTCCTGATGCCGGCCCGGCCCGACTCCGCGCCTCCGACTCACCGGCAGCGGCGGCGGCTGAGCCCGCACTCCCGCCTGGGCTCCCTGCTCCCCGCCTCCCGCAGGCGCCAGTGACCGCGGCGGGTGCAGCTCCGGAGAACTGCCGGGAGGCGGGGACGACCAGGGGCGGACACCGCCCGACTCCGCCTCTTCCCTGCCCGGGGGCGGGATGCGCAAACCCGCGCACCCACCGCCGAGGCCGTGGGCGGGCGCCTCTTCCTTCCCCCGGGGCTCAGACCCGCACAGCCCGGTCAGCTGCCGAAGGCCCAAGGGCTTGAGAGAGAAAGACCTGTTAACCGCTGTCCTAGTCATTCCAAGAATCCACCCCAGGGGGCATTTCCGAGGCCTTTGAGGAGGGCGAAAAACAACAAACTTCGCCTTAGATCTCAAGACTGATTCAAGTTCTTGCCTTGAAGCCTCACCACCCGCATCTGCACATTCAGGGTCTGAAATCATGTTACTACATACCGAGGAGGGGGCCCGTGCACACACTTTTGCACCCCTGAGACTCCCCCGTGAAAGACTCTCCCCCGATTTATGCTCCACGCAAATGCACCTCACCCTGACAGGCTGGGAGCTCGCTTGTGTACCCCTAGATCTGCAAACCACAGAGCTCTAAGGCGGTCCTACTAACCAAGACCCACGCACGCAGAGGAGGGGGGTGGGAGAGCAAGGAAGGAAATTCCATGTCTGGTTCGAGACGCTCTCCTCACCCGCAGCCCGTCTGTATTTTACCATGAGAAAAATACACTTAAGATGTAGGAGCATCAATTAAATCAAATTGACTTTGTGGTTCAAAAGCAGTCTAATTATCTAGAAAAAAGAGAAAGCAATCAGATCCTGGGAAATGGCCTGGCCCAATGCTACTGTAAGAGGTTCATTTAATTCATTTCTTTACTTTTTCTGAGGCAACTCAACAGGCCTCATTCTGGTCTGTTGGTAACTGGCACTTTTCCATTACACCACGGTGTTTCAGTGACATATTTAACAACAGCTCACATTTGTACTACGTTTTCACTTTTCAAAAGATTTAAAAATCCATTACTTTATTTATCTTCAGCAAAACATCACCAAGCAAAGGTAGGAGGTTATCTGTCAGGGGTTATTTGAATTCCATAAATGAAGACATTCAGACCCTCAGCCATTAAATGGCAGGTTTAAAGCAGAGTCACGACTAGGGAGGAGTCACGGGCTTGGACATGAGAGCCTTTGCTCTTCCCGTAGAGTCATGGGCCAAGCACACATAGGTACTGGCATAAATGTCACTGTAAGGCCTTTGGCAGCTTTACGCTTTCCAGCCCTGCTCCCCACTAAAGATGTCAGGAAATTCTCCTGTACTTAGAAACTTTGAGCCCTCAATAGGAACAGCCGGAGGTCATAAATGTACAACAGAGCTGACTGAGAGGAGGTAAAAAGTCCCTTTTCTTCTCTCTGCCACTCTAGAAACAAAATTATAGGTCAGCAACTGTGAAGGCCCAGTGAAAGGGTCAGTCCAACTCAAGTGAGCTGTTGGTGAGAGCTGGTGAATCTGTGAAATGCATGTTAATTGTTCCTGCTTTTTTTCTGCCTGAGAGTTCCTCTTCCTGGGGTAAAGATGACCAGAAGATCCTTTAATGCTTTCTCAATGTCACAGGAAGAAAATGGTGAATGTTCCTTTCCTCCAAACCTTGATCTCGGTGACAGGTGTGACAGGGCATCATAAAGTGTGATGGTGTCAGGCGTTTTTATCGGGGCCGGAGGGGATTCCATTCACAAGAGGCTTTGTCCAGAGCCATGAGATAAGAGTGGTGGTCTCTCATCCTTTGTGTTTTTTTTTTAATGTGGCAAAATACATGTAACACAGATTTTACCATCTTAACTTTAAAAAAAAGTATTTTACTTGTGATAGGACATGCATAATATAAAATTTGCCTCCTCAACCATATTTTAAATGTACAGTTCAGTGGTGTTAAATACATTCACATCCTTCCTGCCTTTTTAAATTACTTCACTCTCATGCTAGCTTCCACTTTTTCCTCTGGGTTGATGGCCCTCTTCAGTGTGGATAGTATAAATGATGTTTTGGTAACTCTGGAAAAAAAGAGTCCTGAAATGACCTTCCTACTTTTGAATCATAATAGAAGGCTATTGGGTCTTTAATAAAGGACGGTCATGATGGCCTTTAGTATATGGAAATTCACAGCTACACTCCCGTCATGTAACACTGTCATCTGGCAACAAAATTTTGACTTGCTGCTTTTCCAAAAGCTGGAAACAGGCAAGATCTTGGATATTGTGCTATTTCCTCTAAAAGGAGAATGCTAAACTGCTAATCCAATCAACATTCTATCAGACACATTTCCCTTTCAGATTGCCCTTGACAGCCACAGACAGAGGCAATATGCAACATGACTAAACAACAGATATGCAAGATTAAGGAGCTATTTTTGTCCCAAATCAAACAAAGTAATTTGGTCCATTTTGTATTGTATACATACCACACTGACACTATTTTTCTGTCACTTCCACTGTGTGTTTACATAGCCCTACTTTTCCAGGAAGGTCCAAGCGCGTGTGATGACATCATATCCCTAAACTTGATGCATTTTATGTGAAGTAGAAAAGGGGTAGGAACTGTTAGCCTTACTATAACATAGAGTAAGGAAGTATGACGTAGTGAAACCATTATCTGAAACTTCTTGGGATACTGGTTTATACTGGTCTATCCTAAAAGACCTGCTACAAAGACCTACTTGTGAAAACTCATGCAAGAAACAGAGTTGTTTAAAAGGCCTAGTTGTTACTGTTTTCCTTTTATATCTCATAGAAAAACCGAGGCCCATTAATTTCTTCACTACCTTGGCAGAGAAAGGGAAGAGCATATTGGAAGGAAGGTGTTTAAAAATCTGTGCTGGGAAGTTCAGACCATCCTGAGTGTGAACCCCAGTAGCACCATTTAAGAGCCTTTGGTCAGGTTACTTAACCTTTCTGCGCTTCAGGATTCATATCTGTAAAGTGGAAATAATAATCATATCCACTTCATGTATCTATTGCTAGGATAAATGAAATAACATACATTAAGCATTCAACATTGTGCCTTTCATATAGAGAAGGCTTGATAAATGTGGGTAAAAAGGCAATGTCTTCATGTGTATAGGATACTTGTTCCAGTACTTTCTACTACTTGAAGGAAAGATGTGTTAATCCCAGTGGAAAGCATGGAAGGAATTTAGAGAAACTTGGATATCTATATTTTTAACCCTAAATTCAAATCTATCCATTCCTTAAAATTCCATCATCAGACAGACATCCACACTTAGCTTTTCTATTTAGACCCCTGCCAGCTGGCCAACTGGAAAAGCAACCACGATACTAACTTCACACACACAATTCTAATGAGCTGTGGCCAAATCAGATTTGAAATGAAAGTAAGAACAATGGTTTTCTTGTGTCATTTTCTATGTTATCTCATTAAATGGTGAAATGGTAGGGGTTCATTAATTTGATTTCATCTGGATGGTTCATTCCTTTTAATTTTTTTTCCATTTTCTTAATAATAACAATTAATTATCAATTGGGGGAGCCAACCAAATAACACATATAGACAAGAGAGACAAAATGTAGAAATTGCTCCTAGGCCCTCAGTAAATCTGGGCATGTTGGAAGTTGTTCAGCCTTACATCTGATCTCCTTTCTGAAGCAACTAGTTCCTGGTTGAAGAGTTTTAGATGGCAAACCATAAGGGTGAATGATAAATAACCAACCAGGAACCCTAATAAAATAATGTGAATCCCTAAATTCTGACATTTGATGTATGTAAGTGTTCATTTTAACACTTGTTTCTAAACAAGACCTGAATTTAGGAAATATAGTATATAATTGGACCTCACTAACTTAATGGCAAATAAAGGTGTGGATATTAAAATATGAGACCTTTCCTTATTCTTCAGCAGAATAGAAAACTTCAAATAAATGGCCCTGGATACCCCCTCTTCAAAGGTCCAACAATTTGGTTTCTTCCATTTACTTTGTTCCTGATTCTTAGGCATTGTATCCTGGGGCCGGGAGGAAGGTGGACAGTCCTTGAGCATGGGAGAATCAGAATCGAACTTCCAAGACTGATGTCACACATTTTAAGAAGCAAACATGTTTCAGTCTGTCCAACTCCAGTTCAATCTAGACTGTCCTAAAGGAAGATTTTGGAGGGAAATTTCTTAGCTGTAGGACTAGAGAAGGAGAGCCCTGTGAATTCACCTAGGATGGAAAACTGAGGCTTGAACCTCTGGACTTTGCCGCATCCTCTGCTGATGTGTTGTTAGGAGAAATACACAGCCTCATATGGCTCATTTCAGTGTATCATCTATCGTCTAACTTAGGTGAATGAGCGAAGGCACTGACCACCCTCTGAGGAACAGCTGGGGGTCGGAATCCCCTGCAGTGGCAGAGTGCTCTCTCCCTAGCTTTTTAGTTAATCTGTGCCTGAAGGAAACTTATCTTGGCCTTCAGTTCCTTTAGGATGGAAAGATGAAAATGGCCATCTTGGACAAGATGATTAACAATCGCATTATTCATGCTTGATTCTGGCTTTGTTTCAGGGTTTTAATGATTTTTAAAAGGAAAAAAATATCAATGCACAATTGACCAGTTTAAGTCCACTCTTGTTTCTCTTGTTTACTCAGTCAGTTTTCCCTGCACAAGGGTGACCTAGGGGGCCAGAACTGGCCTGTCCATGTGGCCATCTGGAAGGCCTCTCAGAATAGATGAAATCTGACCTATACCCCAGCCCAGCCCTCAGGACTGAGCAGATAAATTGGAGTCTTCTCCAGTTCTTATATATGAACTGGTCCTAACAACTTTCTGAATGAGCCCAGGGACCGAATGTCGGACCAAGTTTAAAATTATAAATTTGGTCAGAGGTGACCTTTGGTCTAATGAAACATAGCATCTTGAGCTGACTTCTCTTCCATCATTATGTCATTTTGTAATTCCCTATTTACTGGAATACAACAATTACAACAGACAAGAATCTTTATTCTCTTTCTAGAATAGATGTTAAAAGAGGTAACTTG